GAAGAAGGGTTGGAAACGCGCGATCGAACCCTGCCGAGAGTGGGTTTGTTGTTTTTTTTTTTTCTCCCGTCCCGGATCGCAGCGTCACCTGTTGCTGCCACGGGCTTGGAGAGCCAAGTTGCATCTTAGTTAATGAAATAATAAAACGCGAACTGGTCCCGCACGGGCGTCGGGCCCCGTCCGAGCCCGGGGGGAGCGGGGACCGGCACACGCTCGCCTCTGCAGCCTGGGCCGGATCCCCCCCCCGCCGCCGGTAAACGCACCGACGGGCCGGTGAAAAGCGGGGGGTACGGGGATGTGCTCCCGGGGCCGCCGTGCTGCCGGCCGGGGTGCTGGGCTCCGGGAAACGCGCCATGAGCCGCCCGGCAGCCCACTAGGCACAGGCAGGGGAACCGCTGAGCCCGGGGGAGGGGGGGGGACCGCTGGCGTCTCCCCTGGTTCAAAGGAGGAGAGACTCCCCCTCCTCGCTGCGGCCAGGCGAGAAATTCCCGGGGGTGGACTGAGCTGGAAACCTGGAGAGAGAGGGTAAGTGGCCCTCGATGAACCCGAGACGAAGCGGGTGAGACTGGAAACACCGGCAGAGAGAGAAAGAGGGAGGGGGGGAGAAAGAGGAAAAGAGGGAGAAAGATAAAGAGCAAGAGAGAGAAAATAAAAGAGGGAAAGAGAGAGAGAAAGCAAAAGAGAGGAAAAGGAAAAGGGGAGAGAGAACGAGAAAGAGAAAAGAAAGATAAGAGAAACAGAGGGGGGAAACACACACACAAAAAGAAATAAAAAAGAAAGAAGGAAAGAGGGAGAAAGAGAATGAAAACGAAATAGAGAGAGTTCGAAAGAGGGGAGGGGAGAGAGAAAAAGAGATTAAAAGAAAGGAAAAGAGGGAGAACAGGGAAAAGAAAGGTAAATAGAAGAGCGAAAGTCAGAAAAAGGGGAACGAGAGAAAGAAATATAGTAAGAAGGGAAGAAGAAAGAAAGAAGAGGGCGAGAGTGAGAAAAGAGAAAGAAAAAAGGAAAAAAGAGGGGACGAGGAAGAAAAGGCGAGGAAAAGAAGGAGGAAGGAAAGACAAGCCGTGGTCCGGGAGGCGAGTGGAGAGCGCGGAGCCCTGGCCCTTCTCCTCGCCCGACAGACAGACGGAGGGGCGAGTGCAGGGCCCTGACCTACCGCGAACATCTCGAGGAGGATTTCAAAAGCACCAACTTAATTTCCAAAGCAATTTTCCTGCGGCTGAGTCGGCTGCGACAACTCCTCCCGCCCTCCCCAGATCGGAACACGAGGGGTTTTTTTAAAAACCGCGTTTCTCTAGTTTCTGTGCCGGGAAAGCACAGAAACGAAAGGGAGATGGGGAGGGAAAGAAGATGCTGGAGGGCAGCTATTTTGCAAAGTTACGAGTCAGGAAAATGTTTTCAGGTCGGGCACTGGGGCACAGGGAGACTGGGCGTTATTATTAAATCTTAAATCCACCGTGAAAACGGGAGTTTCTGCGCAGTCACAGGGAAGGGCCGGGGCAGTCGCGGAGGAAGAGCCGAGCTATTGGAAAAGATGCTCTCGATGTCTAAAAGCGGTTTCTCTAATCCAGGTTGATTTATTTTTGTTTGGGGCTGCGAGCAACTAGAAAGAGAAAACCAAAAAGCTACTGGAGAAAGGAATAAGATCTTGACCTTTCCTAATTCTCCAAATCGGCAGTAATGGAAAGCAGAAGGTGCCAGGGGAGGAGGCAGGAGGCGAGGGCCGAGCGGGCGGTGCAGCGGGGCCGGCCGGGCCGGGGTCCCGCCCCCCGCACCCCGCACCCCGCAGGCGGTGGTGGGTCGGAGCCACTCGCTTCCTTCCTCGGGACTCGTTCTGCTTTACACGGGCTTACTTAAGCGAAAGAGGAGAAAGAAATTATCCCTCCTTGCCCCGCGCTGCCGTCCGGACGGGAATATTCCGGGGCAGGATCGTTTTATCCCGCCCCGATAAACCCGAGGAGAAACCCCCGTTGTCCGCTTCGCCCGGGCTGCCTACGCACGGGAAACCACTGCGACGTAAATACGTGGAGAGCATCGCGTTTCAGTTACAAGCCCTTCTTCTGATATATAGAAAGGAGAGGAGTGGGGCACATTACAAAAAAAAATTAAAAAAAAATTCATCAGCTCCACAGATGTCTGACCAAAGGCAAAGCAAGGCGGGGAAACCCGCATTCCCCCTGCTCGGAAGCAGCCACCGAGCCTAGCCCCGGCGAGAAAGGGAGAATGGGGAAAAAAATAATAAAAAAATACCAAACCTGCGGCAAAGGATCGGGCCCCGCGGCGGGAGCGGGGGGTCGCCGCCGGCCCGGCTTTGCCCGGGGTTTAAACACGGTCAAAACAACCACCGAAAGCAACACCGCGAACCGGGAGGATTCGCCTACGGACGAGAGGGAAGGGAAATGCCGGGCCGCCTTTTTGGCCAGGGACTCCCAAGCAGCGGCTGCAACAGCTAATTATTTTCCTTTCAGTGCTCGGTTATTGCTGGTGTCCTCCCCGCCTCCCCCCCCCCAGTAAATAAATAAAACCCTCCTTTAGGCAGCGAGGCGTGAAAAATGATCCTCGCTGAACGCTTAAAAATAATGTCCCGTGAAGATCGGGGCTGCGGAGCCAGCTAGCCCCGTAATTAAGAGCCATTATCCGTCCTGCCTCGCCGAGGCAAGATTTCACGTTAACCCCCCAAGCCGAGCCGGGCCAGGGGTTCCCGACCCCAGAGGACCCCCCCCGGGCCCTTCCCGCCCCGGTGGCTGGGGGGGGAGAGCCGATTCCCGGGGGGTCTCCGCCGATTCCCCCCCGCCCCGGTCTCCCCAAGCGACGCAGGTATTTGCAGGCGGCGTGAGTTTGACCGGGGCACGGAAAGAGCTCGGGTGCCTGAGGGAAATTTAGGAGATGGGAAAAATCTAAAGTTAGAGCCGTTTGGGGATCTTCCCCCCCAAAAAAAAACAAACAAACAAACAAAAAAAAACCCAAAGCAACGGTGCCCGTGCCCGCAGGCCCGGGAGAGCCGAGCCCAGCCCGGGCGGCAGCTCCGGCAGCGGGCGGCCCGCCCGGCCCTGCCTGCGGGGGGTACGGCGGCTCCCGGTTAAGGGGGGAAAATCCCCCCGCTCCCAAGTCAGCTCAGCTTCAATCCCGGCCGGCGACCTCGGTTTAAAACCCCGCAATGACTCCGCAAGGCAAAAGAAGGGGAACGGAGCCGGGGAAAGGTGTCCCAGCCCCAGAAATCCCCGAGCCCCCTCCCCTGAGCGTGTGGGGGAAGGGGTCTCTCCGGGGAAAAACCGCTTCCCTGCAGAGAGGACCCCCCCCTCCATCCCTCCAAACCCTGAGACCACCAACTTGGAGAACCCCCTGCACCCAGCGGGGGCTGCAGGGGCGAGACGCGCTCGTTCAGCCCCACGGGCACGGGCTGCTATTTCTTATCCGCTCCTGGCACCCTTGGCTCATTTTCCTCCCGCACTTCGCAAACAACCAAGCCAAAAAAGAAGAAGAAAAAAAAATTAAAAATCGCTACTATTAAAATACCCCCCCCGCCTTCCCCCTTCCAGACACACAACCACCACCCAGCCTCGCTGCACATCGCTTTCTTCCTTCGGATCCCGTCTCCTCAAAGCAGGCTCGGTTATTAAAGGAGGCTGAACAAAGATAGCCCCGAGAGCAGCTATCAGCGCATTTTAACTTCATCAAAGACTTCGGGGGAGAGGGAGAGGAGGGGTCTGGCACCTTCTAGTAATGAGCTTGTCAGGAACACCCCTGCCAGAGCAATTGAACAATTTGCACACAAGCAAAAGAAAAGGAGCGGGGAGGGAGGGAGGAAGGGGAAATGCTACAAAAGCCCCTTCAATTTCCAACCATGTGCTTGGCAATCTGGAAAATAGATTCATTGGCCTCCTCTTTTCTCCCATGTCGAGTCTTGTAGCCCCTTTTGTAGGAGCTGGACATGAAAGGGAGACAACCAAGTGCCGGACACGAAGATCGCTTTTCAAAAGCAAATGTGTGTGAAGGCGAGATGTGAGACCGCTCGCTGCGGGGAGGCGGCACGTTCAGGAACAACATCAACAAACTGCGCGGAGGTTCGAGGTGGCACAGACAGGGGCAGAGGAGGGGGGGAA